CACAGTTCAACATCACCTCCTAAACTATGCCTTTCCCAACTATTAAGGTTAATAGCATTTCTCCCTTTAGAAATCACTTTGTATGTTCTTTACAATTATAATATTAGCTTTATTCATACAGTGCTTCAATGTTTGTAAAATATTTTATAGACATCACCTCATTCGATTCTCACAATGGACCTGAGACTCGTGCTATTATTATCCCCATTTTATGATGAGAAAACTAAGGCTCAGATAGGTTTAGTGATTTGCCCCAGAGTAAAAAAGCAAGTAAACATCTAAGGCAGGATTTGGACTCATGTATTCCTGACTCGGGGTCCAACACTCTATCAATTGACTATATTATGCTACCTCTTAAATAACTACTTTGTGTTGGCTTGTGTATAGGTTGTATCCTGTTAGAATATAAGCTCCTTGAGGGCACAGCCTATTGTTGTTTTTGCTTGGTATCACCAACACCTAGCACAGGACCTGCACATTGAAGGAGCTTACCACAAAGCCAGGGAACCAGATTGAGTTGCAGGAAGTAGAGAATTACACTGCAGGATTCTACCTTAAGACTGTGATAGGCAAAATCCACTTTTTGAGGGAGGGGCCCAGATATGTGATTTTAATAACACAGGAAAGCCCTGGCGGGGCAGCAACTCCCACTACCAAGTCAGATCAGCACATGGTCTATATCTTAGCACCTCAGAGAGTGGTTGCCTGGGGCCCTGCAATGTTATGCAGCTTGCCCAAAATCACATATGTGGCCCCTATGTGAGAGAAGTGGGACTTGAACCCAGGACTTCTTCCTGAATCTGAGAATGGCCCATCATCCATCCATTATGTCATGCTGTGTCCCTATAACTCAAATAGCTTTCTATTTCACACTGATGATGTTGGGTCAATCTTCACAGCAACACACAGATGGGGCAATGCAACCTCCTTACTCTATTTCTATAACTGAATCAACAGAAAAAGCTTTCCCACTGGAGGCGTCAACTGACCACCATTTTGGGACTGATTGGCTCTCCCGACAGAATGTAAGCTCCTTGAGGGCAGGAACTGTTTCTTTTTTGTCTTAGTATCCTCTGACCCTAGCACAATGGTTGGCACATAGTAGGCACTTAATAAATTCTTGCTGATTGATATTTTAAAGTTTTAGAGGCCACTGTGACAGTACAGGGAATGGTAGCTTAGAATGCTATTTTAGAAGAAGAGTACAGCAGTTTATTCATATTACCCATATTAATGAAGTCAGGCTTACAGAATTAGAACTGGCCAACTGCCTGGGCTTCCTCACTTCCATGACAGAATGGGGCCACTCACTTGCTTACAGTCTAAGCTTCAAGCTGTAGATATATTATATAAGGAAAACAACTCTCACAAAAGTGGTTTTTCTACCTCCACATCACAACGCATATTGCAAAGGCCACAGGTATTAATGGAGAAGTCGCATGGTGTGTTGAAAAGAGTAATGAATTTAAAATCAGAAGACTTGAGTTTAAAATCTCAGATTTTCCATGTATCTGTGTAGCCTTGGGCAAATCCCTTCCCTCTTCCTGGTCTCAGTTTACTCATCTGTAAAGTAAAAGACTGGACTAATCAATTTATAAAGTTCCTTTTGTCTCTAAGTCCCATGATCCCACGAGATAACTGGCAAAGGTAAAGGTGGAAGGGTGGAGTGAAATGGCTTCTGAATTGAGAGTCAAGGAGACCTTGGCCTTGCTCCATGTACTTGGGCAAGGTTCCTTCTCCTCCGGAGGCATTAGCTTCCTCATGTATATGACAGGTGGATGGACTAGGGAGTCACTAAGGTCCTTTCTAGCCTTAATAGTCTATGAAACACTTATTCCTGCTTTGTGACCTAAGATGAACATTTGAGGATGTCTTGGTTTCATGATGAGGATTTTTGAAATCACCTCTGGAGACCTAGATAAACAATACTGTATATAAACAATCACCTCCTGAGAGGGAAGGATTATGTCTTTTTTCCGCCATGTTCTACGAATCTCCTTAGCCTACAGAACTCCAACAACTGTCACACATGCTGCGAAGTCTACATGATTATTCGTGTATACTGATAATGATTATTTGGGACAACCAGAAATACTCAGAAGCACTCTGCCCCACGTTATAGGATGATGACTTTGGGGCAATGTGGAACGGCTGGGTCCCATCATGTCCCTCTCTATGTGGATACAAGTTGGCTCACTCAGAGATTTAGAAAACTATCCTGATGGAACTTAGTTTATGCCTTCAATCTCTTAAAGCTTAGCTCAAAGGCTGCTTCCTATGTAACGCCTTTTCTAAACCTGATCAAACAAATTCTCTTGGATTTGTTTTGTATACATACACAGCATCAAAGAGCTAGAGTTGGAAGGACCTAAGAGGTCACCTAGTACAATGTGTGTACATGTTATCTCCCCTCATAGAATATACATTCACTGAGGGTTTCAATTTTATCTTTGTATCTTCAGCACCTAGTACAGATAAAGTACTTAATAAATGCTTATTGATCAACTGACTGATCTGTGTCTAAGACAGTTCACTCCACTGTTCTACAGTTACAGCCTGTACAGCGCTCCTACCCAGTATGCCTATAAATAAGGGAGGGGGGGAGGATGAAGGGAATAGCATTTATATAGTGTCTATTAGGCAAGACAGGCACTGTGCTAAGCACTTTATAAATATTATCTCATTTGATCCTCACAACAACCCTGAGGAGTGGGTGCTGTTACTATCCTCATTTTAGAGTTGAGGAAACTGAGGGAAACAGAGATTCATGACTTGCCCAGGCCTGAGGCCAGATTTGAAGTCTGGTTTTCCAGACCCCAGGCCTGGCACCCTACCCACTGCATCAACAGCTGCTTCAGGCTGGGTTTTTGGTGTATGTGGAAATCAGGGAGATGGATGAGAATGAATGTGTAACTTGTATTGGAAAGACCATTCAAAATGCACATCTCATTACAAATAGTTCAAACAGCATCATCTCAAAGGTGATAGGGTCTGGTGTAAAGAACACTGGGAGCCAAGAGGCCTGGGTTCTCATCTTGACTGTATGTGATGCTGAAAAAATCATTTAACCTAGGAGATGATGGAAGGAAGGACCCTTCCAACCCCAAATTCAATGATTTGTTTAAATTTTTAAAACTGCAAATCATGCTAGATACAGGTGAGGACATGGTCCGTGATGTTAGATCTTCCTTATGGCCTTTGGTCACACTTTAGTTATACAGTTCTTAGAAACTGAGGATTTATGGGAGGCAGGGTAGAAAAAGCCCTGGTTTGGTAATCTGGACCCAGGTTTGAATCCTAGTTCTGCTACTTATTACCTGTGCTACCCTGAACAAACCACTTTCCCTCTATTGGCCTCAGTTTGTCTCCTTATTTGTAAAATGGAAGTTGATTGGGGTGGACTAAGATGGCTTCTGAAGGCCCTTTCAGCTCTTTGCATGACTCCATGGTAATACAACATACAGAATTAGAAGAGGCAGTTAGGTGACGGAGTGCATAAGGTACGGAAGGTGGAGTTAGGAAAATCTGAGTCTGAATTCTGGCTCAGATGCCAGCTAGCTGTGTGACCCTTGGGCAAGTCACTTAACTCCTCTCAGTCTCAGCAGACATGATTATCCCTAAGGTCCCCTCTGGCTCTAAGCCCCACCATCCCACCCTGGATCCAATTCTCAAAGGAGCAGGAGACTTCCTGGTGGGGGCACTTATATGACTTCTTTTCAGATTAACCAAGAAAATGCGCCTGAATTTGTTGGATGATTCTGCAACTTGAATTATTCTCATGCAAAAGAGGCCTTTGTTCCTTTGTTAAGAAGTCAATTATGCATTTTTCACACAAAAAACCAGCTCTCCCACCAAGCTTTGTTACAGGTTTGTAATAAACACAGAATAACTGGCCCATGAATCTTTGTAATTAAAGTCTCACACACACACACACACACACACACACACACACACACACACACACACACACACACAAGTTCTAGTTAAAATCTCATCTTCTCTAGGAACTCTTTCCCAATCTCTCTTAATTCTAGTGCTTTTTCTCTTTCAATTTTTTTTCCTATTTATGTTGTATATAGCTTGTTTGTACGTATTTGTTTGCTTGTTGTCTTCCTCCTTGAGGATTGGGACTGTCTTTTGCCTCTTTTTTTATCCTTAATCCTTAGTGCAGTGCAGTGCCTGGCACATAATAGGTGCTTAATAAATGTTTAAATGTTTACACACACACACACACACACACACACTCTCTCTCTCTCTCTCTCTCTCTCTCTCTCTCTCTCTCTCTCTCTCTCTCTCCCTCACTTTTGGATTTCAGTATTTCTTTACTAGCCACTCTCTCCCAGGGAGGCCACATCTGGAACAAAATGAATAAAATCAGTATTCTTTACTAAGAGCTAATCATAAATTAATACGATAAAGGCTGATATTCAAACAGTGCTTTATAGATTACAAAGAGCTTTCTTTGTAAATACCCCAGGAAATGTGCAGTATTATCTCCATTTTACAGACTGGGAAGTCTCGCCCGTGATCATAAAGGGCATAGCCAGGCCTCAAAGCTAGATCTCCTATCTCACAGACTTAGCAATCATTTCATCCAATCCCCTCATTTGACAGATGGAAAAAACCAAAGCCTGGGGATCTGAAGTGACTTTCCCAGGGTCATCTGTTTGGTGAGAACTGAAATCTAGCTTCAAACCCAGATCTTCAGGCTTCAGGTCCTATGTGTTTTTTGTACCACAGAACATGTTGCTCTTCCATAAATTCTCCTTCAATGGTGTTGAGTTTTCCTCAACATAGATTAATGCCCATGGAGCAATAAAGGCTCTCTTGACAAAAGCATAGGAAGTACCTTAGCCTCCTGCAAACTCACTGGTCACCCCCATGGATCAAGCAGGAAAGAAAGAAAGAATGGGGGGGGGGAGAAAGAAAATAGATGCTAACACCTTACATTTGTGAATTTACAAGGTACTTTCACAAACATTCTCTCATCAAAAGCTTACTGTGTTTGTTCTTCTTCTCAGGTAGCGGAGGTGGTTTCTCAGGGTCACCTGTTGACTCAGGAGCAGCAAAATCAGACACAAACTCAACAGGGGCTGAAGAGCTCCCTTGCTGGAAGGGGAGAACAGCAGCGAATGGCGTGAAAGATACTGGCTGGAGGGAGGCTGGGTTCTGGAGATCATCCTCTGTGATGTTGTCGTATTGGGAAGGGTGCCTCTCATAGGAGACTCTACAGCTGGAGCTGTCCGTGGTCTGGGAGGCTGCACTCCTCCGCTTCTTCTCAGGCAGGGCAGGAGGCATGTCCATAGGAAGCAGCGTGGGCAGGGGGTTGCCAAGCTCTGGCTGTGGGGAGTTGCCTGGCGGCAGCTGAAAAGGATGTCCATGGAAAGGAGAGCCAGATTCACCAACAGATTCCGGCAATGGGCTAAGGTTACATGCTACTTGCTGAGGTATCTGGTCAGCGGTGGAGAGGTCTTGCTGCAGAAATTCATAATCAGGGTCATAGTGATCTACATGTAATGACAGAGAAAACAAATGCACCTGTTACCCAGGAGGCAAATTAGAATCTTTGTCCTCCCCCACTCCAATTCCCCTTACCACTCTCACCAACCTCCCCCTCTTTTACAATTTCTTGAGATAAAGTCCTTGTATAAAAAAAGATAAAAAAGATAAAAAAAAAAAGAGGGAAAGAAAACCTTTGCTCCCATCCATGTAGAAGCTTTTTGTAGTCCCTTAAAACTTTTTTTTTGGGGGGGGGTATGCCTTGCCAAGAAAAAATAGTAATATCTCCCATTTATATACTCTCTTTACATTATAGCATTACAGATCCATAGAAGGCACCTTAGAGGTCATTTAGTCCAGAGGTATATAATTGGGAAATATTTAACAAAATAAATAAAAATACAATAAAGCATAGACAATGTTAATTTATGGTTTTCTAAGTCAACATGTGGCCTGCAGGGATCTATTTTTATTTGAATTTGACATCACTGATCTAATCTAATTCTCTTAATTTTACAGATGAGGAAACTGAGGTTCAGAGAGTACAGGAACACTATATGGACGCTGATGTGACTGAGCCCTGGACTTTGGAGACGAGAGACACCACAGCCTAGGGGTCCATGCAGCAACTTTAAAAGGCCCCTTTATCAAATTAACAAAAATATTTTAATTAAACATCTGTAAAAGAAGCACCTCCAAGAAATAATGCCTCTGCTGCTATTTTCAGATGCTCCTTTGTTACAGAATCAGTGAGTACCACTGGCATGCAAACCAGTACTGACTACAGAAAGTGCCAAAGGGGCATCTACACCATGGAACACGTGCTCCTTCAGAGTGCCTGGTTTAACTGCGCTGCAACACACGACACTCTGATCCAGTGGCATCTCATCCATTCAAAATGCAAAGAGCATAGTTTTCCAACTTTACTGCAGCTCCTACAGTCTTTTTAGGGCTGCCGAAAGCCCCACAGTATTTTATTGCTTCCTTAGAAGAGCAGGTTTTAAAAGAAATGGGTTGGATTTGGAAATGGGTTACAGTTTTAGAAGTAAAACACATGATGCACTTATATTAGTGATGCACCAACAAGTAGATGATAAAGCCTGAACATTAGGGAGATCCTGCAGGCATATTTATAGACCTCAACGAGAATAATTTAATGCAGAGGGGAAAGAGGCAAAGTGCAGCTAATGCCATCCTGCTTTCCCTATTCCCCCAAAAGCCCAAGATTTCCTGTTCTGCACCTGGAGAACACCGCTCCCTTATCCCAGTCTTCCCTCAAGGCCAAGGTCAAAGGTCATCCACTTTAGGAAGCACTTCTTTCTAAAGAGGCTGCTCCTCTCCTCTGATCTCAGAGCAGAACTGTGCTGAGAATATGACGCACTTGTCACACTCTAAGTGGAAGAAGATTTCTTTTATCTCCCGTACTCCAGAACAGGAGCCATGTTTCGTTTCTTGAGCAGTGCAAGGTAGGTGCTTCCTACATGCCTGTCAATTAGTTGTGGTTTGGATGAAAAATAAACACAATCATGATGTTGTTCACGGAGGTTGTGCTATGTGTAGTCCTAGTCTGTTGTTAGCAATATTGGCAGTGTTTGTGGAATGGACGAAGTACATTGGTATACAGGGTGATCCCAAAGTCTTAGAGCAATTTTAAGTTTTAAGAGCTAGTAAGTATTTAGATAAATAAACATAGGAATAACAATTATATAAATACATAAACAACAAATAAACAAATGTTAAATAGCTACTAAAGCTTAAAACTTTTCTAAGACTTTGGGGACACCCTGCACAGTGTCAGTCTAATTTCTGCTTCCATAAAGTCCTGCTCATGAGAGTGAAACTGAGAGGCTACAAGGCATGATGGATAGAATGCTAGATTTGAGTCAGGAAGACCCCAATCTGAATCCTGCTTCAGATACATACTAGTTATGTGATCCTGGGCAACTCACTTAAGCTTTTTTGGCCTCAGTTTCTGATCTATAAAACAAGGAGAAGGGACCTGATGGGCTCTAAGGTCCATTCCAACACTAAGTCTAATAATCCCATGGAATTTCTTTGCTGTACATGAAGAGGGAAGCAAAAAAAAATCTAAGGAGGGGCAGAATTCTCGGGTCTATGAGTAGAAGTGGGAGCAAAGAGGCCCAAATGAATAGGGCTGTTAACTTTCAGCAGTCTTATTATATAAGTGGGTTATACTATAGGTGTAGAAACCAATAGTGACAGTGGAAAGTTGCCAAAGGGGAAATGATATTCTCAGAGGTTTCTGGCTTTAGTAGCTGTACAAGAGACTTGTTAGAGTCAGCTTAACACAATCTCGGACTCACCTAGTGTTTCACAGCTTGTATTCCTGGAGCACTGCCCACTGTCCCGGTCCAAGGAGGACAGCTGCTCATCAGACTTGCTCAGCTTACCAATGCTGCTGCATGGGGAGAGGCGAGGGGACTCCCCGCCGTAGGAGTGGCTGCCTCCAGATAGCCTCCTCTGTGCATAACAGTCCACATCAAAGTCCTTGTATGAAAAAGGATGACAAATTCAAATCACTCTTGAGGAACAGCACTAGTTGATAAGGAAGGGGAAAGGCAGGAGAACTCACAGAGAGGGAGGGGAAAGTTACTGAGAGCAATCTAGCTATGATGTCCCCTCCTTAAAAACAAGAACAACAATAGGTCACAGGAGGAAGGTTTTCAGAATTATATGACAAGAGGTCCCCAACTAACGAACTGTCTTGGTGCTGCACTGTGCCACAGTGGGGATCCTGAGTTCCTGAAGGCTACGCCAAAGAAAGACATTTTGTATTTGTATCACCAGTGCCTGGAACGTAGCAGATACAGCATAAATGCTTGCTGGTTGACTGACAGGTCCCGTCCCCCCCAAGTTGAAAGGCCTTCTAATATGGGTACAGTGACTGCCTATGGGCCTGTGATTGGAGGACCAAGTTAGCTAAGCATGGAGAGGCTCATCACTAGCTTGGCTGTTGGGTGAGGAATTTTTTAGACACAGTGATGCTCCAAAACCCTGGCAAGCTTTAGAAGGGAAGGAATACCCACATCAAGAAAAATCAAAGCTCCTATAAACATTTAAGTGACTATAATAATATCTACCACTTACACGGTGCTTTAAAATTAACGTAGCACTTTCAACATACTTCCCCCCCCCCCCCCCCCCAATGGGCAAGAATAAAAATTTTCCCCATTTCAGAAATAAGGGACCATAAGCTCAGAAACAAAGTGATTCTTCCAAAGGAGTGCAAAGCAGGTGGAACCTGTATTTGAACCCAGGTCCCTGACCTCCAAGTCTGGGGTTCTTTCTACTACACTGCTCCTCTGATTCATTACAGAGTCTTGCCCAAGGGAAGGGGAAGTTCAGGTAACCTCTGGGGCTCCCTTCCATAGAATTCCATGGAAATGCCATGATTCTAAACCAGGAAGTTCTTCACCTGTTTTGTGTCATGGACCCTCTTCCTTTGGCAGTCTGGTAAAGCCTATGAGCCCTTTTTTAAAATAATGTTTTTAAATGTATAAGATGAAATCCATAGGATTGCAAAGGAAACCAACTATACTGAAACAAATATTTAAAAGTATTTAAAAATTCATTTGTTGTTGTTCAGTCTTTTCAGTTATGTCTGACTCTTTGATACCTTATTTGGGGTTTTCTTGGCAAAGATACTGGAGTGGTTTGCCATTTTCTTCTCCAGCTCATTTTATAGATGAGGAAACTGAGGCAAACAGGGTTAAGTGACTTGCCCAAGATCAAACAGCTAGTGACTGAGGCCAGATTTTGACCTCAGGAAGAGGAGTCTTCCTGACTCCAGGCCTGGCATTCTGGCACACTGTGCCACCTAACTGCCTCTAGGCCCACTGAAATCTTTTCATGAGCTCCAGGTTAAGAATCCCTATTCCAAAGTTAATTTTTAAAAAATCTTTTTAGAAGAAAGTGAAGAGTCAGAAACATGCCTTATGAAAACAGTATGTCTAGATGCCTGGCTCTGCCACGTACTGCCTGTGTGACCTTGGCCAAATTTACTTAATCTCTCTGTTCCTTTTTTTTCCCCATTTATACAATTACGGGGTATGGGAGAGCTGGATTAGATCATCTTGTAGGTACCTTCCAGTTCCAAATTTAGGATCCTATGAAGTTTCTCCAGTTAAGGTCTTTTTAGATGCTCACAGGCCATTCCCAAGATCAGAAAATAACTATCACAGTACTGCTTTCAGCTTGCAGATGACCAAAGGCCAAAAGCTAATCCCATCTCCTGCTTTTCACAGCTGTGACACTATTACCTGTCTGTTGATTCCAACAGGTAAACTTGAGCCACTGGTGGCCCGGCTCATGGGTGCTACCACGGCCACTCTGGTAGGGGATGGTGCTGACTGCCGCTTTTTGGGTGGTAATGCTGGTGGAGGACTGCAAGACAAAAGAAGAAGATGCCTCTTAAGAGACCCCAGCAAGAAGAAAGAGGTCTCTTTTCCCGATCTAGTCAAAGACACTCACGAGAATATTCCCTTTCTCTGACATAAGCTAGTTGGCCCCCAAAACTCTTCCCCCACTAACATGTCCAGATGTAACAGAGTCAGGCTTGAAAACTTTCCCAGTGACAGCAAGACCCAATAATAAAGACCCTGCCAAAGTCTGGATAAATCAGCCACACTGTGAAGTCAAAACTTCACAACCCAGTCTTCACACCTAACTGTGACTCTCACTTCTGCCAGATGAAGCCCTATAAATAACAAGAAACCCCAAATCAGTGGACTCTCCTTCACTCAGAATCCAGTGCCTCAGCTTTCACATGGCTGAGGTGAAGAGGTGGAGAAAATGTCTGATGAATGTTTCATTTCAAAATCATGAGGCCCAACTTTTAAGTAGCCAGGCACCCAACCAAAATCTAAATTCTTCGCTGAGTCGCATTACCCTCATCACTCAGGTTTTCCAGCCATCGATGCACCGACGGCGGCAGGTGAAGACTGGAGAAGAGCTTGGAAACAGGAGGCTGAAGAGAGTCACATTACCTATTATCCACCACTCGGATGCCAGGGAGGGGGGGCTTGGGAGGAGCAACCTCTTCATCGGCGGAATCGGGAAGCAGTAGCTCCGTTGACTGGGACGTGCCGGTCGTCTTGTTGAGAATCTCCATTTCTCGGTCAGTCAATGGGAGCTCAGGTTGGCTGTGGAATTTAAAGGAGAGATGGGGGTTATTGAGAAACTAGGTGGACAGAGTCCCTTGCAGTAGAGTAATTTCAGAGTGTCACAGGGAAAAGCAATTCGAACCTACCGTATGAGGATCTGGGCTCCAGGCCTGGCTCTGCCACGTCCTACATGTGGGAGGCATTCTGCCTGTCTGGGCCTCAGTTTCCTCATCTATAAAATGAGGCTGTTGAACTAGATAACCCAAGGTCACCCTTCAACTCTGAATCTATGCTCCTACGAATGCACATGCACTAAGAATGAATGTGCATTAAGAGGAAAAGACAGAAAAGTGCCAAGGGAATGGCAAACTATTAGAGTCTTTAGGGAGAGGCCACACAGCACAGTAAGAACGTGGGTCTAAGGGTGAGGAGAGAAGGTGGAGTTCCAGCCCTGTTACCCCTCTCTAAAAGGGCCTCAGTTTCCTTATCTGTAAAATTAGCAAACAACATCAACTGGTTTTTGAGGTTCTATGGGTAGAAGTTGTCAAACATCATCCTATAACATACAACTGAGTAAGGCACTTGACTTTTCAATAATGTAGCCAAATGTTCTGGTATAATGAACAATGTGATGTAATTTCCTTGCCACCTCCCTCAAAAGACAAAAATAAAAAGCCCCAGACTTAAAAAAACACACTTACAAAGCCCTCAGATTTTTTTTTAAAAAAATGCTGGTGATACAAAGCTCAAAAATGTTTGTCAAACAAAGCAGTCAGATAATGATTTTTTTTTGACAAGGCAATTGAGGTTAAGTGACTTGCCTAGGGTCACACAGCTAGTAAATATCATTTGTCTGAGTCTGGATTTGAACTCAAGTCCTCCCGAGTCCAGGGCCGGTGCTCTATCCACTGTGCCACCTAGCTGCCCCACAGATAACGAATTTCTAAAAGCCTCTTCCTAAACACTCATGGGAAGGCACAACTCAAAACTCCTTTTGTATCCTCTTTTGGGTAGTACGTTTCTGGATTGATGACAATAAAAACAGATACTATGCATATCTCACGTTAAAGTTTACAAAGGCCATTCCTCTTCATACCCCTGTGACGTAGATGGTGTGAGTACCATTTTCTGTTTTCTCCATAAAGAAATAGGCTGAGGGGGGAAAGAGACTGGATAGATTTGTACAGCTAGTGAAGCTGGGATTCAAACCAAGGTGCTTGGGTTCCATGTCCTCTGCTCTTTCCACTCTCCTGAGCTACCTCTTACAGATCTAGGACTGTAGGATTAAAAGAGGTCATGCAGGGGCAGCTAGGTGGCACAGTGGTTAGGGCACCGGCCCTGGAGTCAGGAGGACCTGAGTTCAAATCCAGACTCAGACACATAACACTCACGAGCTGTGTGACTCTGGACAAGTCACTCAACCCCATTGCCTAGCCAAAAAAAAAAAAAAAAAAGAGGTCTCACAATCAGAAGTAACTCACCTCACGTTCAATAGCACGACCAGATTCGGCTACCATTTCTCTCTTGGCTATGGAGTTCCTATTCTAAGAGTAAGGCTGAGGAGCTTACCTGTCAGGCTTGCAGGCTGGCGAGCTGGGCTTCGCCGGACTCGTGGGAGATGGGTGCTCCTGCTTCTCTATTGTGAGTCTGACAAGCTCCTAAATCCAAAACAGAAAAGTCATGATGCAGGCACCAAGAAGGGAAACTCTCCTCTCATCTCCATTATCATCCAACCAACCTGCCCTGTAAGGCTAAGGATTCGGGGCCCTCCCTTTCTACTTGAATGTCTTCTGTAGGTTGCAGACCTCAGCTTTCCAAAATGCAAATACTGCATGATGCCGTGAAGAAATTACCATAGGTACCTACTTGAACTTCCTCTCAAAATCTCCCCTCCAAAAATACCCATTTTATGTTTCATGCCAAAAAATTTCCCAAGCACAAAGGTTTCTCTTTCTCAGAAGAAACAGCCTATTGTTTCTAAAAACCAAGAAGATGAACATGATCCAGTGAACAACGAACTCCTTTTGGAGCAGGGATGCTTAGTCTTTTTGTAGGGTGGAGCTGATCTTTAGTTCCCTAAAGTCTTGAGATTTTGATGTCTGTGTTTGCGTGTATCCGTGCTATGAGCTGGTGGTTGGAGTTTCTGAGCAGGGAAAAGAGAGGAAGTGGGTCACATTGTAAAATAATAATAAATCACATTTCTATAGGGATCATAGTTTGAGAAGTGGATGGGACCCCATAGGCCATCTAACCTGACCCCTTTATTTACAGTTGAGGAAATTGAGGCCCAAGTCAGGTAGGAGCTGAACTCAGATCCTATGACTCCAGAACGTGTGTGTGTGTGTGTGTGTGTGTGTGTGTGTGTACACGTACACACACCTATGCTGGAAGGGAAAGAGGAGAGTATTCTGACAACTTCTAGTCTTACATCTATCTAGGGAAAAAAAAACTATTTTAGAAACATTTATAGAGCCAGAATGGACAGTGGGTGGAAGACATTAATAAAACAACAACAGCAACGACACTTTTGAATCTGAACAGAAAAGCAGGAGGAAAAGGGACTAGTATTTCAGTTTCTGAGTATGGAGTCTAATCATATTTCCTATTAACTTTTCATTCCTAAATTTGCAAAGAAGATGGCAACAAAATCCTTTTCATGGACCAAAGGAAGATGGAGTGGCAAGCTGGCCCCCAGGTAAAGAGCAATAAAATTAATCTCAATTACAAAAGCATAAAGCATTCAAGGAGATAATGTGCCATCAGATTCTTTAGAATGAGGCTTCATTAGAGAGGCATTTGGAACTGCTACTCTCCCATGCTAGAAAGGGAGGCACTGGCAGGAGAAAGGGGAAGAGGTGAATGTCACTATTTCCCTAGGAATTATTAAAGTTTTATAAACACTTAAAGGGCAACTACCTATCTGGCTATTCTAGCTAAAGCAGCAAAGGAGGAGATAAGAATACGATAATCCTACTCTATGTATAGGCCCAATAGCCACCAAAATAAGAAAGGCTCATTTCCCCACAATGCCACCTGAGGAGAGAGGGAACATTCTATAGCTACAAAGGTCAGTCAGCTAATTAAGCTGTTACAAGAGCAACAAAAATGAACTCTGTTCACTCCTGTGGCAAAATGGAACTATCAAATCAGAGTATTTGATACTCTATATCAAAAGTATACCATGCTGAGGTTATTGTACAAGTCCGAATCAAGTTTTTGGGCCAGAAAATGCATAGGAAAGCACATGCAGGGTTAAGGGGAGCAATAAAATGTGGGGTACCTATTCACATCTATTGAGAGTAAAGAATGTCTCAAAACTTCATTAGAAATCAGAGCTCTAACTAGGAATATTTTCATTTGGGCTGAGTAGAGGATAATTAACCAGGGGTACAACTATACCATGAGAGAGGACAGCATGACCCTTGCCCCAATAAGGGTTGAAGGGAAAGCCATCCTCTCCCCAGGCGGGTCAGAAGGACAGGATAAAATGTGGCTAACATTGGGAGGTTCCTCTCCTCCATCCCATATCAGCAACCTAAGGCAAAGGCCTGGTCCTGCAGGGATGGTTATGGTTCTTTTAGAAATGAGAGTGATCATCATTAGGCAGCCAATCTCCCTCAGAGAGACACAAACAGCTGTGAATTCTATTTCTGGAGGGATGGGAGAAGAACCAAAGAAAGTCATGCACATATGTGCAAGCCTTCCTTCTGACTTCTAAGATGGTGCTTGCTGCATGGTTGCAAATCTCCATTTACTCTTTCTCTAGCCTGGAACTGAAGGTCTGCAAACAAAACAAAACAAAAACTGGAGCTCTTTTCCGTATGAGTAACTTCCATGCTTGAAGAGACCAGATGTGTAGAGTTCTGCCTGCATTTTCTCTGCTGAATGAAAGGATGTCTTAGGGATCACTGTGGCCACTGATAACACCCAGATCACATCTGACATGGCCTTTCAAGACACGAGCCAGTGGTAATAGGGTGTCAGCAGAGCTCTGGGGAGGGCTGTTGACCACTTTTGCTCCACTAGATGCAAAAGCATTAACAAGGCCAAGTACAGTTCTTTCAGAATTAGCTCCTTTTGTCAGGATGGTACAGCTGGAGTTGACTGACCTCGGGGGCATGACTAACGGCCCATCTGTTTGCTCAAGCTTTTGCTTTACATGTAGGTACAAGAAGAGTTTGTTAAATTTCTATAGAGCTGGCTCTGCAATGATGAGGTTAACTTTGCCCCCTCTAACATGCATTCCCAGTGTTCCTACCAATAACTGACATGGTTAAAGGAGTTCAGAGTCCAATATATATCCAGAATATATTTTTACTGGTTAATCTGAATAACCATAGAATACTATAAAAGATAATCCCATGGGTAACTGCACTGAGGAGTGACACCTGGGTTCAAGTCTTGGCTCTGAATGCTACAACCTCAGGAAAATCATCTTAACCCCTCCAGCCCTCAGTTTTCCTCATCTATAAGATGAGGGCACTGGATGGACTAGATAAACTAAGAGAACACATCTACTCTTCCTCAATGATTCAAGTCACCAGGTCTACACCCAAGAGGAGAGTGACCAGGATGGGAGAGCACTGGAGACCACGTCACAGGAGGAGAAGACTGACTTGAGGAGTTGGGGAAGTTTAACTAATGGGGGAAGCATGGCCACCATCTTCAAATGTTTGAAGGGCTAATGTGAAGAAGAGGGATTAGGATTGTTCCAGTGGGGAGAGGGAGTTTGCTGGTCAGAAAGAATGATGAAAAGTAATTGATAGAAACCACAGGAAGACAGAGTTCCACTGGAAAAGTCAGCAAAAATACCCTAACAATTAGCACTATCCAAAATAGGGCTGCTTTGAGAGGCAGTTGGTTTCTCTTTGCCTGTGATATTTAAATGAAGATCAGATGACTACTTGCCGGAGATGCTCTAAAAAGGATACCTTCTTTAGGTTAGATAGCATCGAGGTCCCTTTCAGCTCTGGTCTTATCCTACATAACAGTTATGTGCCTATGAAGACACTTAACATCTGTGTTCCTGGGGCATTTCATAAGGTTTTTTTTCTTTCACTTCTGGCTGCCTCCTCCTTCAGAGCAAGCTATAAAAGCCGGTGATGGACACTAAAATTGAGGCTGCTTTCATGTTTTTTTTAAGGAAGTATGATCAGACACTTTGAGAACTCAAATGACTGATGGTACCACATTGTACATGCAGCAAAAGAAATGAAAGTAAATGACATTTTAAGCACGAAGCAAAAATGTATTTTCTGAGGATTTGCTGGCAACTTGACAAATACAGTATGCTCTGTAACTTCCGTGCTATTGCCTTGTTTTCATCTTTGATCTAATTTAGCCTCAAATATTAGCTGCCTGAAATATAACATTCAAACGCGGCAGACTGAATATCTCTGACTTCATCACTGAAATAGGGGTGAATATTAAAAGACCACTCTTCCTAAAGATTACACAGAGAGGCAGAATTGTGAAGTGGATGAAAAGCTGATCTTAGAGGATGGAAGATTTGGGTTCAAGTCTTTGTCTCTGAAACATAATGGATTTGTGACCCTTTCCATGTCCCAGATGAGTTGTTCTCAAACTTTTTATCTCAGGATTCCTTTACGCTCTTAAAAATTACTGAGGACCTCAAAGAGCTTCTGTCTGTCTGGGTTACATCTACTGATATTTACCACATTTAAAATCAAAACTGATAAAATTTGAAAAAAAATAATTTAAAATAAAAAACCTATTTCATATTAACATAAATAATGTATTTTTAATTAAAAAATAACTATTTTCCAGAATAAAAAACTTAGTAAGAAGAGTGGCAGTGTTTTACATATTTTTACAAGTCTCTTTGTTGTCCAGACTAACAAAGACTACTGGCTTCTCATATCTGCTTGAATCTGCTATGATGTGTTGTTTTGGTTGAAGTAAGTGACAATGATCCAGACTCATAGAGACATGTAGTTGGAAAAGGGAGGAGTATTTCAGTAGACAAATAACATCTTAGTATTATTATGAAAACAGTTTTGACTTTGGGGATCCCCTGGGATGCTTGGACCACATTTTGAAAATCACTGCTCCAGATAACTCTCTTAAGACTACCTAAACAGCTTTTAAAAAAAAGTTTATCTGTACTGGTAGGAATTCCTTGCATCAATTAAAGCACTGGTTCAGACCAAAAACAAAGTTTAAAAATTAAAAAATGCTGAAGAATTTAGGTCTATGCTCACTTCTCTGTAACTCTTAAAGGATTACAAAGTATATGACTGTCCTTTTACCTCAGATGAGGACATGGTGACTCAGCTTTTACGTGACTTTACCATGGTCATCTAGTTGGAAAAGCAGAACCAGAGCTCAAACTTAGGGCTTCTGACCCAAAGACCAGGGTGGCTTTCCCACTGGACCAGGCTGGCTTTTGTGTAAAAGTCAAAAAGGGGATCTGAAGGTATATTTAATGTTCTTTCTAGACTAGCTCTGAGCTTTCATTCCTTCTCTCACTGTTCATTTTATCCACATAAAAATGAAGGAAATGATAGGAGGATTTCAAGTTGCTAAAGGTAAACTATTCTATAAATGTCTTCATTCTCTCCCTGGCAACAGGAAGGGAATGTGTCTAGCAAAGACGAATGAAGACAGAACGTCGTAAATATCAAACTGATGACAGCACTCTCAGCCAGGTTATTCACTGGCAGGGCCAATGGGGCAAAATTCACCAGCAAGTGCATATTCCACACAACTTCCCAGTAGTAGTCCCATTTTAATACCCATTTCCAAAGGTCTAGGTTGAAGGTAAAACCTACATTACTCTATAGACACAAGGCATTGCTAGAGGTCGGCTATATCTGTTCCATCTCTTTCTTTCCCTTCCTGTTTGCCTACTTAAGTCACACGGGAGATGGTCTGGGCCTCAAGGGCTTGAAGCCAGGTAAAATCTACTTCACACTAGCCTACGTCATGGTCCTTTCATCTAAAGATAAATTCTTGAGAGACACGATTACTCATACCTCTTTGGCCTTAACTGAGGAGGTTCTGTGAACCCCTGGAATATGCTGGCCAGAGCAGTGATTATACAACTTAAATGCTTCCCTTAAATGATGCTGCTTAATAAATTTTACAGGACTTTTTGACACAGATGCAATGTTATAATGGTGACAAAAGGGGATTTTTCTATCCTGCCCACAGCCAAAGGTTTTTAAAAAAGCTAACAAACCAAGAGCAAAAGCTTCTTCCTCACGTAGGAACTGAGCAACAAACATTCAAAATAGAGAAGTGTATTTGGTGTGATTGGGTAATATCATTAGAATAGCTCTTAGGAGTTTCACTTCTAGATACAAATTGGCATTCCTTAAAAAGGCTAGAAACAAGGCAGCCAGAGGCAAGCTCAAATTCTTCCAAAGTCAAATGAGAAGGAAGGACAATGAGGACAGAAGACTAATGGTGTTGGGAAATGTCTGAATTAACACCAGCAATTGTACTTGGAATACTATTTTAAAACCAGGATACCCTTTGCATCAGAAAACAAAAACCCCCAAAAAACCACATCCAGTTGCAAGAAATTCCAAATTCAAAAATTAAAGGTAAAGAGGGGGGTAACCTGCTTTAGTTTCCTCCTCTATTATCAAACCTGACCCTAGAGACATGAGTCAGATTAAACTACTCTGAGGTCCCATCTATCTTGAAATCTGATGTGATTTGAGAAGCCAAAGGAACTAAAGTTAACTGTGAATTACTAGAAAAACTTAATAATCTACAAATACCTGACGATATAAAAAGATTTCTTGGCCTAGAACAGACAATCTAATAACCAAGAGTAATAGGATGGATCTGAGAAAGAACACATTTGGGTCAAATAAAAAGGAAAACTGCTGTTTCTTACAATGGTTAGAGAAGATGTGGTAGTTCTGCACCCAAATATTCTTCTTTTTCCTTAATGAATTAAAAAAAAAGTTCTATCTATCTCGTGCTCTAGTTAAGCAGGTTTACTAAAAGGAAATATTAATTCTCAAAACATCAGATGGGATATTATAAGGGTTTAAAAAAAATGGAGCATGGGCATACCTCACATTCCATGCATGAAGATCTGAATTTACAGTTGAGATAAATTAGGGGTTGATCATTTTGCTTTACAAAAAGATCCTTTAGGAATTTCCTATAAGGAACGTTCTTAGTACATTTTAAATATGATTCAATCTATACACAGCTTCTTCAGGAATATGGTTACATTCATCTAAGTAATCATGAGATGAGGCATGACACTGACAAGATCTATAGTCATAATTTCTAGGAAGGCACCCATTTAGAAAATAATTTATCTGTTTACAGGTGTAGAGGTTTTTGTTTGTTTGGTTTTTTTGGGGGGGGGGGAACAGAAGAGGAAATATGTGATGATAAATTACATTACTCATTCAGAGAGAAAAAAAAAACACACTTTTGTAACCCTGTAAAAAACAGATCACGTTTAACAACTGAATGAGTTACTTCAAAAGTGGTGAGTCAGTTCAAAAGAACGTGCCAGTGTTTCTCCTCCAATTGTGACAAATACATCCTCATAACCATACTTCATTTCTGTATTCAGTGCTGCTGGTCTCCCCTCCCCCCTCTCCCAGGCTGAGCATAGTTCCTTTACAGTACCAAGATATTAGCTTATAAGGTGTCCTGGCCTAAATAGGTCAACAGGGGAGGCTAGAAGCCAGATGGTCTCCGGAGTAAGGCAAACAATCCTTCAGGGCTTTTCTTCAGACTCAAGCACTCCTGGAAATAGGACCTGACATCTCTCCATGACTAAGAAACTTAAACAACTTTCTAGCCTCAATTACTGTAGCAGTGTGAGGTTGATCCTGCATACTTCCTCACCGCCCCCTACCCCCATTTTTATTTGTAGATGTCTTGAACTGGGAGTTTTACTTTTACTTTCTTCTATGTATTCTAAGATGTGCACACCCTCTTCTACGTATAAAATGACCCACTGCTCTATGCAACTGCTAAAGTGATTTTCCTAAAGTGCAGGACTAACCATATCATAACACTGAGTTAATCAACTCTACTGGTTCCCTATGACTTCTGGAATCAAATGGAAAATCCTTTGTTTGATCTTTAAAACTCGTGACAGCCTGGGCCTACCCTACTTCTCAGGGCTTGATGCCCGCCCCTCTGTGCACTCTACAGGGTGTAGCAGTACGTAACTTCTTGCTGTTCCTCACACAGTCCACTCCATCTCCCATCTCCAGGCTTTGCACTCATTGTTGCCCAGGCTTGGAATGTTCTCTCCTCACCTCTATCTCTTGGAATCCCTGGTTTCATTCAAGACTCACCTTAAGCACTGACTTTTGCATGAAGCCTTTCCTGGTGTTGTGCCTCCTCCTCCAAGGTTACCTTGTATTTGCTTTGTATGTGTTTTGTATAGAACGAACTATCTATCTATCTATCTATCTTTACACACATACGTTGTATTCTTCATTAGAATACAAGCTCCTTGAAGGCAGGGACCTCTGTCTTGTCTTTATATCCCCAGCACTTCACACTGTGCCTGGTAAATAGTGGGCACTTAAATGCTTGTCAACTGAGAACAACTTTGACAAAAGTATGTCTCTTTTTGTACAGGCTGCTTCATAAGTTACAGCTAGGGCTACTTTAGACAGAGCAGATAAGTGAGACAATAGTGTTTGAGTGTTCATGACTCTATGTGGAAAATCAGGTCGGGAACATGACAAGTTTTCATGTTCAGAAACTCAGTCTAACATCCTTTCTGAGCTTGGTAACTTCTTCTGAAAATTACTTTTTATCTGATTTCTGCAATGGCCTTTGGTCAAAAGTCTGAAAATCTGGCCTAAAAAAGACCTCTAAGTAAGAGCATTTCTAGATGAAGGCTTAGAAGACCTAATAGCTAAAGTTTATTTTAAACCACCCTTTGGGATGAGAATGAGATGGATACATTGCTCCAAAGGTGAGTTCAATAGCTGTGTACCCCTCAAACATGATACCTCAGTGGTGTCTCTTTTTAGAAAGAAGGCTACTTGGGAGTTGCTAAAAAAGCAAGGGACCTCATGGCATAGAACATTTGTGCTAGGACAGACTTTAAAACAACGTCTATTACGGCTGGAAGGGGTTTTAGAACAGAGAATGTCAGAGCTGGAAGAGATCTGAGAACCTACAATGTCAGAACCGAAAGGCACCCTGGAACACAGAACATCAGAACTGGGAGGGGGCCTTACGACACATAGTGTTAGAGCTAGAAGGGCCCTTAGAACACAGAATATTAGAGCTAGAAGGGACCTTAGGACACAGAATGTTAGAGCTAGAAGTGACCTTAGAACACAGAATGTGAGAGCTAGAAGGGACCTTAGGACACAGAATGTCAA